GGTATAATTTACTAGTAACACGAAGCAAATTGGGTTATTTCTTTGTTGGCTTTGCTGAAATGATTAATATAAGCAAATAAGGAGACCTACAGTGAAATACATAAATTACTCAAAGCTCACTGGCTTCAATGATGGAAAATTTAATATATAATTAGTGATAAAAATTATATTGTCTTGTTAATTTCTAATTGATTGCAGGATAAAAGATACAAAATCTATATCTATAAAACAAGATTTCTGTTAGTGTGTGTCTGTGTGTGCGTTATGCTATTTATGCATGTCCACATTTCTTGACCGATTTTGATGAAATTGTACACACATGTTGCAAATTTACCAAATTAGGTCAAAACCAACTTTCCAATTGCCAGGACCCCTGGCTTTGGAAGAAAATTCAATAAAACTGGTACAACTTTTTGCAAAAACCAAGGCAAAGTTACACACAAATAAAATTTTTACTAGATGAGCTGATGTTCCTCACACTTAATGCAAAACATAGCTCATGTTACAAGGTTTATGTAGTGTTGATAGTTTTCCTACAACGTTGCCTTCATACAAAAAATTGCAAAAACTGGAAAAAAATTGGTTTTTCGTACTACTTAAAATAAAACTTGAATAATTTCCTCATTTTTTGTCCAGTTTTCTTCAAATATGTTACAAAAAAATTACCATCATGCAAGAAATAAGATAGTGTAGTTTTAGTCCTGCTTGCTTCCCTGAATATAATGAAAAACTGTTAAAAAAGCCCGTTTTTCAGCCATAACTCCCTGGTTTTTTATCCAATGCTTTCCAAATTTGCCATGTAAATTACATCCTTATGTGTTCATCTTGGCAATGTTACCACTGGTGGACTGCTAATGCAAAGATTGTTTGAGAAGGATTATTGAAGTGTTAAAAATGAAAAATTTTTGAAGAAACTCTTATTAACCCCAGCTTTACAGTAAGTGTGTGAAGAAGGAGGGGGCACATTCATGCATTTGCACTTGCAGTTGAGTCAAGCTGACACTTCCTCCCTGTTTTTGTTTGATTATTTGATTTGTGAATAATGCCATACTATTTGAAAGTAATGGCCATAGGAAATTTACTGAATATCTAAAACATTGAAACAATTTAACCCCGAGCAACAACCACACAAGAAGATTTTAACGATAGAATTCCTTTATTAAGAAAATCAAACACTTGTGAAGGGCATACCATAAAAAAGATGAGGATGGAGACTAGCTTAGTATACCAATGGATAATGCATGCAAGCAGGGATGCAGGAAGACATTTTTAGACAGGGGGGTGCAGTTATACAATTGCAGCCATGTACACCCATGCAACACCAGTTACCTTAGCTAGTAAGTAAATAAAAACATGCCAGCTTGAGTGAACATTGCAATTTTTTCATGAGTTTATTCTATTTGGTTACATCATATGTTAGCAGGTAAAGGAAGAGTTAAAAACAAAAGTATTTATTTTACTTGCATAACAAATATTTATTTTTCAACATAATCTTTCTTGTCAATGCACTTAATATCTACTATTTTTAGTTGAAGGTTTTTGATATGTTGAATAAATTAAAATTAAAATATGACGATATAAAAGTTTAAAAAAAGAACTAATGAAGAAAAGAAACATATCAAAAGATACAATATTTTATGTTGTGAACTTCCTGTATTTTCTTTTGGTTTCTCCTTGGAGTATATAATTTCTTTCTTTTTTGTGTGTACACATTTGTTTTGCATTTTTGTTCAGTACAATTATTTCTGGCATGTGATCATAGTTGTTTATATTGCAATTCTGTTCTTTAGTTTGTCAGTTGTAATCTTATTAAAGTTTGTCTATCATTAATTATGAAATGTGGCAAACAAGATAAATCCACTAAAAGTTAAAACATTGCAATGTGATGTTATCAGGAGATAATAGAAAGTAGAGGAGTGGCATCATTCTAAAAGTGGAAAAGAACCAAATTAATGTGTTAAACTGTTTGATTAGAGGAAAGAAAAGCTGATATTTTAATGTAATACCCTGATTTGGTAAAGAAGCTAAATATTACCAGAATGTGCCATTTATTTTAAAACAAATGTAAATTAATACATAATCAAGTAATGTTTTTTATAAATTCTGCAACAGTTGCACTTCCAATCTTATATAGAATCTTAGTAAAAAAAGGACAAATACAGAACTAGGAATGATGTATATATGAAATACACCATCAATAAAGAAAAAAAAATTTTGTATAAATACAGACATCATAATGGTATAAATAGAGTCTCTTTTAATTGATTAAAAAATAAAGTTATTCTTTGTTCTCTAATCTTTTACAGTTATGTAAATTTCTAAATAAATAAATCTACTCTTCTCAATGATTATTCATCTTTTGCGGTAAGCTTTCAATTCAGTAAAATAGACCTTGAGTTATATTTGTTAAACACTTGTGAAAATTGCCACTTTAGTTATTTCTCAGTGCGTTTTGCTATATGTACCTCCTTGCAAAATATTAAAGAAGAGAAATTATATACATGAGGGAATGCTGAAAAGTTCTCACCCTGATCCACTTCCAAAAATATGACCAAACATCAGATTTGTTTTTTTTTTTTTTTTTTTTTAATGACTTCTTGATTGGTGTAAGAACTTTTCTAAACCCATATGGTGGTGAACAAAACAAATGTGAAACCTTAGTAAAAAAAATCAATTTGTTTAAATTTTACTAAGAGGCTGTGATTATTTAATAGTTTACTTTCAGGGGTAATATTTCTAATCTGTCAGGTCTGTAATGTGAATTGTTGCATTCACATGGGCACAGTACAAGAGGAGATACAAACCTGAATGCCTCGTAATACTGAAAATAAGGCATGCAAATGTTATGAGCCACTTGATACCATTCAAGATTAACATCATTCCAGATTAAGATATGCAGACAGATTTCTCATGATTGCATAAAGTCTGGAGCCTACAATTTGTCTATTTCAGTGAAGTTGATTTAAGTTTCAAAATGGGAAGATTGAGCTTGAAGAAACAGATGAAAATTATTAAAATGTCACAAAGAATGAGTCAATGTGATGAGGAGCTTTGAATATCAAACTATGTTGTCTAAGTCATCCAGAAGAATCATGCTGAAGGTTGAGAGTGTTTTGCATATGACAAAGTCTGGTAGACTACTACTGAAGTGATAATTCATACATTAAAAAAGATACGATGTCAAAGTCATTTAAAAGGACTTCTCCCAACTAAAATGAGAATAGATACCACACTTTGATCCCAGATAAAATGCCAAGTAGTGATTATTTACCTGACCTCCCCAGTAAGGCAAGATGTGACACATGGTCATGAATATGCATACAAGATAAGGACAAAAATTACCCAGTCCCCACAACTACTGACATGCTGACATCAATCTTACCCAACATCTCTTAGGGCAACAGGCGAAGTGCTGCTACAGGGTTATATTCTTTCGCACTGGGCACCTTCTTCCATCTAAAATAAGAAGAGAACAGACACTACACTGATCTCAACCAAAAAGCTGAGAAGTGGCATCATTATTATTTTATTATATTGACACTTCCTCTTGTGCAATGAAGGAGGCACTGCTGCAGGCAGCTGTTTCCCAAGACAGAGCACCTCTCAATAGTAATTTCAGTTGCATTTTGTCCACAGAGACATAACTCAGTTGCTCCCTGTCCGAAGACAGAGGCACAACTGAGGCATGAAATTTAGTTTATTCACCCGAGGGCAGATACTACAATTTGATCCCAGCTAAAAGCCTAGAAGCAATTACTTCAGAAGATAGAGCTGCTTTTGAATATTGTCCTCAAGTGATATCGACTGCAGATATCCTTTTGTTTCCTACATGTCCTTGACATAAGGGAGACAGACCATAGCAGTTTACTGATCTTCATCCTTGACCTTTCTATCACTTCTGGCAACATTTCATTCGTTTTGACTTGTTTATGACCAGTAAAGCTGTTTTTGCATTACAAGACAATCAACATTTGTACATGTTTTAGAGTTGGAGCATTTTTTTTATATTACTATAACTACCATCCCCAGCTAGGCTTGCCAATTTCTGAAAGTATTTCAATTTGTCCATCACCACTGTAGCATTGCGTTTGTGGGTAGTTTGATGATGCTTGTGTCACTCTGTAGTGTTTTGATTGTTGACTTTTCAAATGCTTGTCTTGCTTTACACCTTAGCTCATCTACCTGGGCCTTTGCAATCATTAAGGCAAACTCAACTGAAGTTATCATATCTAAGCCATGGGCCATACCTGATGATTGTGGTAAAGTTGAGCTCCTTTAGCAGTGTTTCCTCAGAGGCACTCAACTGGCAATTGCTGATATTGAAAACAGCTCTTACTTAGTCATGGTGGGTCTTGTTGCTACTCCTATACTGTTCATTTAGTTTTTGTATTTGATTTGTATTTCAAATTTCTCATTGTATGATTTATCAAAGTCTTGTTGGATCCTGTTTTGGTCTGAGCTGAGTGTTTTTATACTGCTAAGAAATGTCCTTGTTTGCTCAGAAAGTTTGCATTTAAAATGATGTTTCTAGCAACATTTTAAGTCCCTACATCTGTATAGAAATGTCAGGTGGTTTAATATCTGAGCCAATTCTGATGTATCCTACTCCAACTCAGAAAGTAGCCAAGCTTGGAATTACCAACATTTCAATCCCTCTATGGAAGACCTTTTCAGAATCAAAATAACACTAATAATATCAGGCTATCCTTGAAACTGAGATGGCCAGTAGAGAACTTGTGAAAGGATATGTTGACTTAACTTTCAATTTTCTTTGCTTACTATAAGTAAACAAAAAATAATATTTATATAACTATGTAAGTGGATTAGCATTTATTCAAAAGCTAATAGAATTTTGACAAATTTTTCATTTTTTCATTGTGTTGATTCTTAAGGTTATTTCAACAACATATGTAAGTTTTCATGCATAAATAACTAAAGTGTTTTTTTTATTTTACATATATATCTCTAATTAAGTGTTTTTTTCTTTCATTTTATTATAGGTCACAGCAGCAATTATCCAGGTAAGCTAGCTTTTCTTCTGAAAATTCTAACTTAACAAGAATTTATCTGTGAATTATGATTTATTCTAGAACCTCATTATCTGTGATAGGTTCCAAGATCATTTATGCATAATGAACTCTACAAGTAATAGCAAACCATATATGTTATGTCCCAAAAACAGAAATAGAATTTTTTTTAATTATTTTTTTTTATATATATATAGAAAGGAAAAAAAATATTAAAAAAAAAAGAATCTTTTCATTATAAAAATCTAAATTGATGCTGTAATTAAAATTAATATTTACTTTAATTGGCAACAAGTAAATCATTATGCAATATTTGATGACAGCTAATTAAAAATGTAGCTGGCTAAGGATCATTATTAGTTTTGTGTGTGTGTGTGTGTGGAACATCTAGAAAAACTTGTGATTTGAAGCTAGTGCTTTTCAGCACATCATAATGTTCCTACATTGGTTCTAATGTTTCAATTACCATATAGGTTACTTTAATGTGTTTTGTCTGAGAATCATATTGTCATTTTTATTTCTTTGCTGTCTAAATCATTTTAAAACACCCAGCAAATTTCTGATACACATTCCTGGTTCCATTTCACTTTTCTCAGTACATGACTTAAGAATTTCTTCCAGTTCCTCATTAACACTACCTTGTGGCCTTCAATTTGTGCTTCCACTTCTTCAAGTGTATCAAATTGTGCTTCTCCATCAGCCTCTTTTGCTATATCATTGGTTTTATTAACATTTCTATAAATCTGAGGAAAGCTTTTAAAATCATTAATGACTTCATTCTATATATTCTTTCAGCAGCAGGCATTTACATTTTCTAGTTTTAATTCATTTATTGCAGCTTTGATGAATATTATTGCATTTGCAGTGGTAAATGTTTTCCAGGATGGCATAATGTCAAGATTATGGTCTACATTAGTTGCTGCTCTTATGCAATCAAACCCAGCAGTTGTATGTGGCCTTGAAACACTGAATAATGCCCTGGTCAATACATCCTTGGTATTTTTATTTTTATGGTAAACATTCAGGCTGGCTAAGTGCATTATTGATTATTAAAAGGACTTCAAATTCCAATCCTTCCAAGTACTTTTTCATTTCTGGGTTGAAGCATTGTTAGAACCATTCCATAAACAAAACAGCACCCATCCACATTTTATGATTATGTTACCACAACACAAGTGGATATTTTTTTGTTTTTGCTCTGTAGCAAAAAGTACTTTTTCACTTTTATAAATGTAGGTTCTGTTGGTTGTTTTGAAAAATCCTGATTTCATCACAATTGAACACTTGTTTTGGAGCAATTTCATCAGAAACATGGCAACCCATTCTTCATCAACTGGCGCAGCCTCTCCAGATCATTATATTCTTTAATTCAAATCTACTTCTAAATCCGATTAATGTTCCTTTTATTGCAGTAAGTGGCATAGTGTCATTTATAGTAGGATAGGATATTCCTTATTTTCTGTTACATGCTCTGTTTCTTTCTTTCACCCATAAAGTGTGTGCTTTTTAAGCATCATGGCTGAATTTAGCTATTTGAGATAAAACAGCTTCACTGGCCTACCTTTCTTTTTCCATTTTAATAATTTCACAAACTGAATATATGTTTTACCATAAATTTTTGCATGTAACTTACCTTGGCCTCCTTATGAAGACAAGCATTTTTAATTTTTCTTTACAGCTTCTTTTTGCCGTATTAGAATTGTCTGTGTCACTACACTTCTACTTTGATGCCATTATTAATAAAACATCCACTGTTAAGTTTAAGATCAAGTATGCACACTAGAATAGGATGATTGATAATATTTCAAATGGAGCACTATTTCACTATACATACATTGCAAACCAATTGTAAAAATGAATTGTACAAAAACAATAACTAATGAATGAAACAGTTTTTTTTTTTCTTTATCATAATTTGAGCTTTTCCTCTCAGGATCTGATAATCTATTTAAATATCTTCAAATTTTTCAAATTAAATATTTGTTTCCTGTTATTTGTTAATACTTAAAGTAGTGAGCCAATTCAAATGTCTTGGGTTGATTTTCAGCAAAGAGGGCTGCAGAATAGAAATAATTTCAAAAGCAACTGTGGCAGCTTTTGCAAAACTAAGAACCACCAAGAAAATAAAGAACATCTACCTGAAATCAAAGATCAGACTGTTTTGTGCATTGACCTTCTCAGTTTTTTTCTGTGTGCCCGCTAAACTTGGATATTAACAGACAGCAGAATTACAGTGAAGAATCTAAACATTAGAAATGTGAGGCTATAGAACTATCCTAGGCATCTCTTATACAGACTGTATCAGAAATAATGCAGTGCAAAATACTAATGAACAATAAACAGGTTCATTCAAAGACTTTATATCCACTGGTAAGAGATGGACACATCATAAGAGCCAACAATCTTTTCACTGATATTTTACAAGGTACCAACTGCACAATCACACCCAGTCATGAGACTAATGATGATGATTTTTAATACTTTTTGTTTTAATACTTTTTAAAGATATATTTTATAAAATATTTTTAGTTTAATAAGTTTTGAACAGAATAGGGTTGCTGGTTGGGCCAATTTTGAATAAGTGATAATTACCATCCAATAATAATATACCTCACCTATTGTTTTTTTTTTTTTTTGTTTTTTTTTATAATTCCAATTTGTTATTTCAGTATGTGATTTAATGTGCATGGGTGTGATAATTTTGTATAATAGTTATCTGAAAACTAAAAAATATTTTTGAGCTGCAAGTATACAGAAAAAATGAAATTAATTTGGTAAAAATATTTAATAAAAAATTTGAAGAAATGTTATGATGTTACATCATGATCTTTCTCTCTCTCTTTATATATATATATATATATATATATATATATATGGGTGTGTGTGTGAGAGATAGATTGAATGTAAAAATTACAAGCTGACTTAAGTTTTTTTTCTCTATTTTATTGTATACAGCCAACTATAGTCACCAGAATAAGTTCAAATATGTCAAGTGTTTTTTTTTAAAACAGTATTTATAAATGTCTACATCTCCTAAGAAGATTTTTTTAATGCTCACTCTATACAATGGCCAAGAGCCACTCAAAGTAGAGGGTTACTGAAGGCAGTTGTAGTGTGAACAGTAAGAGTAAGAGGCACAGTTTATGAGGATATATATGAGAAAAGATAATGGTTAACCCTAGATTTGAAGAGGTTAAGACTGTAGAGGTCAGGAAAGCATCCTCTTGGAAGTCGGTTCTACAAAGCAGCATTTTGTGAGAAGAAGCTATCCAAGTGGGATTTCCTTCTTACTAATGAAGTACAAACAGAATGAGGGCAGTTTGCCTCCATGTACATGGCATTGCAGGTTTTAGCTGTTAGGGTTAAAGTTGGTGGAACTAAGGAATGTAGCTTGGCAGAACATATTCCATGAAAATAGCAATAGAGTAATGAGAGGCTTGCAATGTTTTGGTTGTGGGGAAATGCGTTGTAGGGTGGAAAATAATTATCAAATTGTTTGATTAGAATTTTAAAAGTAATTAAATTTTCAAAATCTTATGCTGTAGCACATGGAATATTCATTTTGTATCTGCCTTAAAGATAAACTTGTTAAAGTTTTTTTTTTTTTTTTTTTTAGAAAGCATCAGTTTGAAATGTTCTTGTTAATTAGTTTTGTGTGTAACTATTTTTCTTTGGAAAGTGAACTGTTTGACACTAATCTAGTTGAAGTTTTTAACCTTGAATCAACATGTTTTAACACTTGGTCTGTATCCATATAGTTTTCAAAAGCAAAAGCTATTCCAATTTCTTAGAATAGCTTTTACTTTTCAAAATTATGGAACACTTAAGAAACTCAACCATAGATTTAAAAATTTCAATGTATATGTTTTGAAATACTGAAGTATTTATTTTATTTCATTCTGGATATGAAAATATCTATGTGTTAGGTTAAACAATTCCATTGAATAAAATATAATTTTAGTTAATGTCAGTCGTCAAATGATGAGTTTATCCCTGTCTTTTTATTAACCCAAACTTTAAATGACTGTAATTGTCATTAAATAAAATCTGTACTATCAAAAGACATTTTAGAAATAAGATTGGATACAGAATTCTAACATTTTACACTAAATTTTGCTTCGTAGCAAAAATAAATATCCATAAAATGTTAGAAAACATACATACTCAATGTAGAAAATGTACACTTACCCAACATGAATTGCACTGAAATTCTTAACAGAAAATAAAAAATAACTTATGAAACTGAATAGATATCTTAAATTTTATTATCAGTTTATTGCAGATTTTATGAATAAGTTGAACAGTAGAAACATGGAAAAATGTTTAAAATACAAGTGACTAAAAAAGCAAACCTATAAAACATGGTGATCCTTTAAATAATTGACATGAAATTTGGTAGAGAGAAATTAGAATCTATGTTTTTAATGATTATTTTCTTGATTTTTAAAAATATCTATACATTCATCCATTTCTAACTGACAGATAATTGAATTAGCAAAATACCAGGCAACATTTTCTGAAAGAAAATGTAAAAATGATAGAGTTGATTACATTGGCTTTAGTTGCAAAACACAATTAGGCTTCAAGCTTTGAGTATCTATTGAGTGAACCTTAAATGGAACTTGTATATATGATCTATCATTAATTCAGATCCTTCAATCATGTTTTTTTCTTTACAAGAGTCAGATTAGACCAAAAATAGAGCCTACATACCATATCTCTACTGGAGCTCTGTGTGTGTATGTGTGAGAAAGAGAGAGAGACTTTGTTCAGTAGAAAGAAGTTCTTTTGTATTTTTTTAATTCTCTAAAAAATGAATATGAAAAATAGTCTTGTGGCTAGCTTAGATATTACATTCTAATATACTAAGCAGCTATGGTGGAAAAAGTTGGGAATGAATGTAACAGAGCTAAAAACAACAGACTTAATCAAATGAGACACTGAGTAGGCTGTGTAGGGTTTGGCATCTGCAGTCATAATAAAAAAAAACAAAA